CACGGAGACCATTAATTACCGCGGCCCCCCTTCATTTCACACAGCGCGGGAGATAACTCGAGAATTATAATCCCATCCGACATTATCGCGATTATATGCGAGATAATCGGCTTTAATTTTCATTCATTTCATCGTAATGCAAATTCCTAACGTAAATTTATCATACTAATAATTATCGAATATTTTATAAGCGTAAAGCGAGCAATATACCGCCACGATAATCGAACTGACGTTCCATTCAGTAAACAGGAAGAGATCAAGCCATGGTTGAGATGGCATTTTCCGAATAATTAATTCGGAATACCTCGAATTAATACGTTAACTTCTCAAGTGGTATGTCCGACAAAATTTCGTGGTGAAAAATTAATTGATGTTCTCGCAAAAATTAATTTCGCTTATTTATTCGCAAAATATTAAGCTCCCTTTGATTCACGTTAAAACTTGCGTTTAACTCATAATGCAAATGAAAAAAATGAGATAAATTCTATATTCTATTTGTTTTAATTTTTCATGAAGAACGGTAATAAAGAGAGGAAAATTTAGATATCCTTATTTAAAAAGAGGAAAATCTCACTTTGTCTCATCTCTCCTTCACTTAATTTTATTGACAGCGATTATCAAGTGAAGTCGCGCGAATAACTCGTGGACGAAAACGGCCAACATTTTCTGCTCTCCCAGAAACGTTCACGGAGAGACTTGACGTCAGCCGGCCGTTAGTCGTAACCGCGAGTCATTAATAACGACGAATATCTATTGGTATCCCGAGAAGCTTCCTCGACTCGCGGGAATTCCGCGAGGATTAATGAGCGGCGGGCGTAATACGAGGATTTATCTCCATCTCGCTCTCGCGCACAGCCGTAATTGTTCGCGCTTCGTCGGACCTTCGGTATTTGCCCTTAAAATACGCAACGCTGAATTTTGGAACAGTCCCTGCCTCCCTACCTTCCGTTTTCGCGCACTGCGTCTCCTTCCTGGACCGGCGAATTCTGCGGCGAATTTGTCTGGCTGACCCATATTCTTCCTACGGCGGCGGAGCGTATCCGCCACGTCGAACAAACGCTTCCTCCCGCCGCCGCCGTCTCGTTCTCTCTCTCTGTTTCGTTTTGTTTGTCGAAAACTCGATCGGCGGCGACTGGCGCCAGAATATCGCGACGCGTCTTCGTCCTTCTGCCTGGTCGCCGCCGCCGTCGCCGCCGCCCCGTCGGCCACAGGCGTCGTTCGATTTCGCGCGCGATTCCGATCGGATTTTTTTTTCCTCTCCTTCCGTTCTTCTTCCCTCCTTTTCCGCCGGATCGGGCTTTTATCCCGCGGCGAATCACCGCGCATCCATCGTGAATTTTAATTCGCGCCAGTCGCCGTCGCGTTCTTCTCCGCGGCCGGCCGTGGCGCGTCGCGCTTCCGCCGTGAGCGAAGCAACAGGTGCGATGCGTAATCGACTGCAATCCTGATAAATCGCCCTATATTTCACGCAGATAATTCTCCCCGGCGAGGTCGTCGCACGGAGGATCTGTACTGTCGATGTCGGCGGGGTAAGCAACGCGACCACGTGAGACTTCGGGATTTATCGTCGCGAGATTGCGTCATTTCGTCAAACAGAGAGAGACTGTCACAGGTGTGCGGTTGGAAGAATTCACACCTTGGCAGAAAGACAGATCAGAACTCGCGCTAGCAGAAAAGCAGAATCGACTGCCACCTGAAGACCAACGCGAGTTCTACTTGGCTCTTGCCTTTCTGCTTTTCTGCTATAAACTCTCCCTGATTTCTGATCTGAGTTTTCAGTTGAATCACCACATTTGCAATCGCGATCAACTGAAAGATTCACGTCTAACTCTAAACTCGGATTTAGAATATCTCACTGGTGCCGCCGAGTCTCAGGTAACGGCTATTAGAACTTGAGATTTTACGAAGACGTCATCGGCGAACGAGGGAAACAAGAGAGAGTAACGAGACGTGGTCCCGGCAAGAAGCCATGGTCCCGCGCTACGAAGTCGCCGAGTGCAATTTTTATAAATAAGCAGCGATATATACGCGCCCGCTGGTGCACGGGGATATCCCGGCGGAGGATACGCGAAGGAGCACCACGAACGAGAGGAACGGCCCCGCCGGTGGTGCCTTTGAATTAATTATTCGATGCCGCCCCGTGTATGAATAATTCAGATTTCGGACGGGATGAATCTTGACCGAGGCGCCTTGGGCGCGGGAAGGCGGAAACCGGGAAATGGAATTGCCTTTTGATATATCGCCGGCGCGCACACTCCCGAGCGGTGTGTCTGTGTGGTGTACACTCTGTGGATTTTTCGCTTCTCCATCTCCGAGGTGTGGGGCGAGAAGAAGTTCACTTAACGCTCCCGAGCGCGGACCCCAGCGAGCTACCCTGATCTTCCTTGCCTCGCGCATTTCCCATGCGGAAAAATGACGCCCCGGGACCGTCGTGAATCACAGCGCAGCGAATTTAAACGATGAACGGCGCGTCCATCGCGGTTATCGCTGCTTCGTACGCGAATCCGTGTGTGTTCTCCCCGTCGCGGGGAAAAGCAGGGAGCAGAAAAATCCGCGCGTACCATTTCCGTCGTGGGGGAAGCTAGGGAGCGAAAAAACTCGCGACTGTGCGACACGCGTGCTACCTGACACTCTCGCAATGAGTGCTGGCAACTCGCGATGTTGACCAATAATTTATTAACAATGAATAATATTTTCTCCCTCGCAAGTACTCCGCCACACAAAGAAGAAATGGTTGACCCAACCAAAATTATGATTATATTTGACTTATATTTCTTGCTCGTTCCAACACGAGGATGCCCGAGTCGAAATTTTGACCCTATGTTGAACCTTGAATTCTACATCGCAGTAGGAGCTAAGATAGCAAAGTAGATTTAATTCTAATGATATAATTTGTTCCTACTTTGACTCTGATGATGTCTGAAATTTCCGCTTTCGCTTTCTTTAACGTTAAAGTAAGTTGTATAGTAGTAGGATCTTAGGAAGCAAAGTAGGTTCAGTTACGAACCTCTATCGAAGCTTTAACTTCTATATAGAATATATGTATTTTATAGAATTCAAGGTTCAACATAGGGTCTAAATTTCAACTCGGAAATGAGTGTCAATATCGTCAAAATAGATTTCATCTAGGTTTCATCTAGGTTTCACCTAGGTTGTAGATTATCTAAGTAGGCTTAAACTATTTTTAAGAGCGTCAAAGTAGCGTCAAAATTTTGATAAGGTAGAGTTAAAGGTTCAAAAGAGAAGTTAATGAGTATCAATATCGTCAAAGTAGATTTTACCTAGGCTATAAACCGTCTAAGTAGACGCAAACTATCCTTAAGAGCGTCAAAGTAGCATCAAAATTTCGACTCGGGTGGTAGCAACACGCATATAAGATTATTATCATTAATATTGTAGTAAATTTCAAATAAAAAAGTGGTTTTCTCTATAATTTATGGACCATAATTTATAATGACTATTTCTCTATGTGTGATCATAGTTACAAATACCAAACATTTTTTGCTCAGTGAATGAGCGAGAGGCACATCGGCCAAATTTGTCCCGATGGAAAATCGAGACACACAGCGACTATTGCGAAGTGATTACACAAAAAGATATATAATCTCATCCTTGGTAAAATCCTCTGATGTATAATTTCAAGAGGATTCTTCCAAAATTAAAAGGAAAATATTCCAATATTCTTGAAGTTGGAGGAATGTGATCTCTTATCTACAGTACAAATCTTGTGCTTGACAGAAATTTCTTCTGATAAGAAGATATTCCGTGTTTTAAGCAAACAAGATATTCCTTTCGATTCAAAAAGAAAAAATTAAACAACGTCTAATAGATTAACAGTTGATTCCCATTAACTTCCGATTAACAGTTGATTAGAAGAGCACCACTCTTTCAGTAAGGATTTGCAGTTGGATGTGGATTCATCTCGGGCCTTTTTACTCAGTACATGAGATTACAGAAAATAACGTTCTACGAATAGAGTTCTATTTTTGCGCGCGAGAATATTTTCTTTCTTACAGAAGAATCCCCCTTGAGGCCATATATAAGAGGATACCGTAAGAACAAGATTATATTTCCTTTCTTTGGATATAACATCCAAAATGTGTGTGCGCGCGTTGCCAGCAACCGGCAGTGCCGCAAAGCAAGTTCGTTCGACGCGTAACACGTGATTCACGCGACGCACGAGTCGTGCCGTGCGTTTCCCGGGTACGTATCCCTGGTCGCGTGTGTATTTGGTTTTACCACTCGACTAATTCCACCTTCCGCCTTGGTGGTGCTCGCGCGCGTGTATCGCGGGGCCGAAGTGTCGGACGGAGCGCGGTCGATTTATTACGTGAGTCAGTTCTCCCGCGACGAGCGGAGCGTGTCCGAGGCACATTAATTATTATCGCCGCACTTCGGGGGAAGGGAGGCGGGGTAGCGGTGGTAGCGCGCGAGCGAGGCTCTTTTTTCCTCATTAATCTAACATCTAACGAATGTGTCACGCTCCGCGGCGATCGCTCGTTTAACCTGTGGAGTTCACGTGCGTTAAATTACAAAGTGCGCGCTACGATATCGAGGGAAATGTCAGTACGTACCACTTCTTCGCGAATTCCCCCGGCCGCGGGTATTATCGATCGGAGCAACAGAGGGTTTTATATATCGGCTTGAAAACTGGCGGTCTGGAAAACGCCATAATTTATCTCGTTACCAGCGAAACGTAATAATTTACACGCCGGTGTTACGTTTCAATCGTTAAGCACAAAGTTTAGCGAGCCGTACGAATTCCGTGCGCGTATCGCGCGAGATACACAAGCCCCGACCGTACAATTATCGCATAAATATTTCGAATATATCTAATAGTATCGCGTGATATTACAATCCATTGAAAGGAGAGACAGAGAGAAAGAGAGAGAGAGAAAGAGAGAGGAGGGATAGAGCGGCGTCCAAGATTGAATTTAATTATGCATCCTCTCGACCGATCGCGCACCCTATTTAATTCCCGCAATTTTGCACGTTTGCAGGATACTTCGGCAAGTATTTAAACAAGTACAACGGCTCGTACATACCGCCGGGATGGCGGGAGTGGGGCGGCCTCATAATGAACTCGCGCTACTACAACTACAGCGTCAACATGAACGGCAAGAAGATAAAGCACGGCTTCGAGTACAGTCGGGACTATTATCCGGACCTGATAGCCAACGACAGCGTGGCTTTTCTCAGACAGAGCAAACACAATTTCGCCCGGAAGCCGGTAATGCTCGTTGCGAGCTTCCCGGCGCCGCACGGCCCGGAGGACTCGGCGCCGCAGTTCTCGCATCTCTTCTTCAACGTCACCACTCATCAGTGAGTACTTACTTATCTACCTGTCTGCCCATACACCCGCCCACCTGTCTTCATCCCCGAAACTTTGCGCCGCCGTGTTTTCGAGCGCGACGCGGCGACAGTAGTGCGCGAAAATACGAGAAAAATCCGCCGCGAAGCCGTCGAGAAGCCAATTCGTCCCGTTTTACGCTCGACCCCGCGGTCTAATTAATTGACGAGCTCGTGCTCCTCCGTGCGACAAAGTTGCAATGTAAGCGAATTACGGCGCGAGAAGCTGGTTGCGCGAAACTAACAAGTAAACCTATTCAAAGGTACACTCCAATTTCTTTTCAATTTGGCACAAATGTATTAGGACCTTAACTTAGTTTCCGCCCAAAAAATACTGAGAAAAAGCATTTATTGTAAAAAATTTATTTAAATTATTTCAATGAAAGTATTTTCCATCACTTTCTACAACTTTTTGCCATCTTTCTGGCAACTGGGCGATACCATCTCGATAAAACGATGTTTGTTTCGAAGCAATCCATTCGTCCACCCATTCTCGC